AGAGAAGGAGGAAATGTTCAATTTATAAGGCGATTGTGCAAGTGAGAGTCTTATGTAAAGAAGACATCCACCGCCGCGTCTGTCGGCACGGTCCTGGCGGTATAAACTGAGGCTATCTATATTAAGTGCCGAGTCCGAAATTAGAGAGTGGGCCCAAGATTCAGTAATGCACAATACGTCTGTGTCAAACTCAACAGCTACACTTCTTAGGTGTGTCATCTTTTGCACGACAGATCTTGCGTTGACAGAGACAATACTGAGCGTATTCCTAATATGTAGTTCCGCTCATTGCTACTTATAAAAAAGGAAGAGCCGGAGGTGGAAAATTAAGCTGTTGGAACGAAGCAATTGGTGGAGGACAAAATTGCTGTGGTCTAAAATTTATGGGGTAATTACTAGCTAGAGATGCAGCATTAGGTGGTAAAACATTTGAGGAGGACCCGGGAAGAGGAAAACTATTTTGTTGGGTTGGAAAAATAGGAGACAAGAAAATAGGATTTTGGGAATTGTTAGCATAATAACAGGGGTAGTTTATGTTTGGTGGCGGATGTAATGGTTTCGGGAAACAGTTAACATCAGGAAAGGGCTTTATTATTTGGGGTGTCAGACTAGCAATGGGATTGGAAAATTTATCAGCAATGCAATATACTTGCATTTTGCAGTCTGATGTGTAAGAGGGCTTCACAACTGTGGCGTTAAGTTGAGAATTCAGGATAGGAACAGGTAAAGGCCTCCCTGAACTCTCATCTAGCTTATTTGACCTAACTGCAAGGTCAGACCTGAGTGACCAGGCTTGGGAACGCGGTGGATTCGATGTAAGTTTATTAACTAAATCACTATTCTGAGTGCTGGGAGCCGGTTGTGCTTCAAGAACTGGCTCATCTTTACTGCTAAGATCAAGCTCCCTTGTAAATTTGAGAGCCGCATTTGAACAATCCTTGCTCCGTGGGGGAGTTTTAAAGAGGCTAGTTTTAACCGTCTCTGTGATAATGTGATCAGTCGAAGAGCTAGATGGAACTGGGGCCGCTGTAGATAGAGGGGGGATTTGGTCGACACCAGATGGAGAAACTGCTTTAGAGGTAAAAGGCATTTGAGTAGAATTCGGGGGTGGCTTTACGTTTGGTACTGGGGGAGAAATTTTTCGTTGCAGTGGAGTTTGATCTCGACTAATAAAAAGTTAATTTCCCCTGAGATATTGAGTCGAGCGCTCCAAATGGGAGAAAATAAAATCCACTTCTATCGATGAAAAGAGTTTGAAAAGAATTGGTGGATTCTTGCTCCTAGATGAAAGCCTTTTAGCTTCCGCGACCCTAAAGTTGAAGCCGCATGAATAAAGGAAATGAAAGGCGACATCTGTTGGCTGTCTACTCTTAGGAACGTTTTTTAATATAAAGTTGAAACTTCGTTTGTGCCTGTCTTCAGTCTCAGTAGCAACCAGGTTAATAAATAAATAAAGAAATAAATAAATTATAATTTAATGCCAGTTTACAGGCATTGTCAAGGGAAGCCATTAAACACAAATCCGACCAGCAGTGAAAAAAACTCCAGAGCTTACGGCATAAAAGTATAGTTGATGGTGGTTTTTGTGGTTTGGAGGGCTCAGGAGAAAAAAACTGTCGGCGGTGGTAGAATATCGACCGTCAAGAAGGGGGGAGGTTGCACGGTATCGGAGATTATCGGACATCAAACTCCTTTCATGAAGTTGGGGATAGTCAAAGTAGAGGCGTTGAGGAACAGCTGGTGAGACCGGCCATAGTGTTCAGAGACCACAAACGCCATCGCTACGGTACAGTCGATCAGTAGATTCAGCACCCAAAATTTGTGGGATCTTTTCTGAATGCAAAAATCGAGTAATAGTTCTCTTAAATAAAGGATAATTTTGCAGAGTTTTCACACTCATGGGTAGTTTATTCCAAATAGCAATTGCATTTACAGAAAAGAACCGACGATATTTAACAGTACGTGCCAGAGGCAGAAATAAGAAGACCTCACGGTGACTGTTACGTCGTGGGTGGATATGATGTCTTAAAGAGGTGAGCGGGTTAAATGTGTGGTTATATAAGAGTTTAAATAGCAAAAATAGTCCCTTTTGTAATCTAC